ATAAGCTGAGCCAAAAGCAGCAAGTAAGTTTCCCTAGAAATGTTGGGGAATGCAGTTTCCCACACATGGACCCTTCTGTTGTTATGGACACTGTTATAACCGGAGCAATGATCCAGACACTGTTCTATGCAGTATTCTGGGAAACACACAGCTTCCGAACACATAAACACCTAAAAGTAGGAGATACATGATGGACCCAGAGTAGAACATTCAACCAGCGCTGATGTGAACCAGCGGAGAAGTTGAACCTCTTGTAACTTTGTATCGTCCACTCAGTCCTTACTCTCAAGTTTTAGATGAGTTTTCTATTGATTTATTGTTAAATACTGACAGGGTCATCATACTGGGAGATTTTAACATCCATGCTAACATTGAAGGCGATAGCTTAAGAGCAGCCTTTAATGCTATCTTAGACAAAATTGGCTTTGTTCAAAATGCGAGTAGTCCCACACATTCTCATCTTCATACTTTGGATCTTGTGCTGACATAATGCTTTGAGTGAGAAGAAATAACAGTATTTCCTCAAAAGCCTGTCCTCTGACCACTTTTTAGTAACCTTTAAATTACTTTAACAGAGTTCTCCTTCTGGAAAAGAAGGTTTGACTTGAGCAGATCATTATTATGCAGTTAGTTTAAAGAATTTGTTCCACTTCTTTATCTTCCCTGTATCACTGAACAATACTGCAGAGGGCAACCATTTATTTATTCCCCTTCAAAAGCTTATGATTTGTGATGGGGTTGCTGAGTCTCTGCATACTATCTTAGACACCGTGGCCCTTTAAAAAAAAAAAGCTGACTCCCTGTTTTAATGCAGAGCTGCACACTTTGTAGCAAATCATTAGGAAACTGGAGAGGAAATGGTGCTCTACGTTCCTATGGAAATCTTACCTGGTCTGGAAAAAATGTTTATTGTTCTATTAAATGACCCCTTTTAAAGCACGAGCAGCACATGTCTCTTCATTAATAGAGGAGAATAAGAATAATCCTAGATTTCTTTTTAATCCAGTTGCCAAATTTACTCAGAGCCATAGCTCTGTTGAACCGTCCATCCCACCTGCTCTTAGCAGTAATGATTTTATGGGATTCTTAATAAATTTGATTGATTCTATTAAAAATAAGATATTTAGCACCCCTCTATTGATTGGTTTATCT